AGCTGACAGCCAGCGGCTAGGGGTTATAATATTCGACGACGTTCAGCACGTCACACGTGGTGCGGGACGCGGCGAAGAATTATCGATTAGTTGGGCGAGCGCGCTATGCAAGAAGAATCTTGCGTTGACGAATGCCTGCATCGATCACGCTATAGTCGCTGCTACTGGTCTACATTGAAATGTTGGCTATGATGAATCAACCCTTATTCTTGCTATTACCACCGCAGAGGTAACGATGAAGCTATACGGTTGAATCTGACGCCATAGTTGCTGATGCCTTTGATGATAAACGAATTTTTGACAGTAATTCACCGAGTCTTCTGTTCAGCAGAGGAGCTGCGGATTGAACAATTCTTTGGCTGTGTCTGAGGTTCTTTGATGAAAACCAACTACTTGTGATGAAACCAAGCCCTTAATGACTAGGATTTGTCTGATGGAGGTCGCCGTCGTTACACTGGGCGCCCCCAGCCGCGCAAGGGTAGTGGTAGAGTAAGGACGAATAACTGCAGTGGATTTAACCGCTTCGCTCCGCTACTGGTCGTCGTCGGTCTACTACGCTGCTAGAGTGATTACGAGAGAATCTTTGTCATCCGAATGTTAGTTGTTCGTGTTGGCGACAAGCACTCTTTAGCACTCTATTGAAGGTGTTGTTGTATATGATGATGATCATTAAAAATTGAGAATAGGTCGAATCTTAATCGATCTAATCGAGGTGTCGATACTCATTAGCCCAACTGAATAAGCAACTTTCGAAATCATTCGCACTACTGTATCGCGGCTCGGATTGGAGGCTTCGCAGTTGCTCTGTATGCTAAGTGTTAAGCAGATCCTTTTTTGCTTTCCATCATGGCTGAGGTCGGCAAGAAGATCAGCACTACCCCCTACTCCACCGAGCCAGCAGGTGACCTGAAATCACCCTTATAGCGCCTAGCTGCTCCCTCAGATGCTGAACGATCGTCCACCAGCCCGAAAGATTCATCAATGCCCGATCAATCCAACCAGGAGCTCACATCCTTCGTATCTAATTTACTCAAAGAGATGGTACGCCGCCATCATCGTATTTCATGCCATGCCTATACATCGTTAGCAAACCCGCTTCCAAAACATGTCCGACACTATAGTGGGCCGCATTGACGACATGACCTCCCGAGTGGACGATTTAGAAAGGAGTATCCAGGAGTTGGCCAATAAGGTAGTTTTTGTCCTAAACCCGACGCGTGTCAATTGCCCTTCAGACCTCCTCCAACGATCTTTCTGTGGACGACAAGTGAGCTCATCCCCATGATTGACAATTAACCTCATTTCTATCGCTTGAGTTCTCAGTACTTATAACACAAGCAATAGGCGATAGAAAAATGACATCGTGGAAACTACAGCGTTTGCCCAGGTCTTGCTAACTCCGCCTCCCCCTTGGCTCTCTCAGCAGGGTCGGCCGAATACTTCTGTTCAGCCTTCTCATGGACTGCTGCCATTCTCAACCATTCACGTCTTTCTGCAGCCTCTTGCAAGGCCAGTTGCTCCGTCTGACCGAAAACGAAAATCCGCCGATATTTTCTCATCGCGTTTCCTACATATTTGGCCGAAGTTGTAGCGGCGGAGCGGTACATGACATATAGAGGTAAAACGGTGGCCACGACCACCGTGGCCGCCCATTTTAGCTTCTCCTTCGTATCCATCCTGAACGGACGCCATAGTAAGGGCCGCGTAGCAATGCCCTTACAGTTCCATGTCCTCGTCACTGGTCCGGATCCTCCTACGTCGTCTTCTCTCACTAGGGGTCTCGTTCACTGAGGCGAACCCCACCGTCTGTACCCCGTGCCAACATGCTCTTCGGTACACAAGAACACCACCGCTACGCAAATGAAAAC